AAAGATTTAAAGATTTTTTATTCACGCTGTCCTCTTAGAGGGGAAATATAGCGAAAATGCTATTTTCCATTAGGACTGACCTTTAACTATAACCTATATAGTTTTCTTATGATACGAAAAAAAAAACACCTTGACTGAGTGTAAAATCTTTTTTGTTTGTCTGATAACATTAAGTTTATTTTTTATTATTTTTTTTATATACATTTGGCATTTTCATCACTCTTTTCTATGCGATACTTCAAAACGTCCTGTAAAACATGGTAATGGAAAGTATATGTACAGTACACTCTCAAAAATAAAGGTACGTAAGCTGTCACTGGGGTGGTACCTTTTCAAAAGGTACAAATTTGTACCTAAAAGGTCCATATTTATACCACAAGGGTACATATTAGTATCTTAAAAGTACAAAAAGGTTCCTCTTGAATTTTTTAGGTACTAATATATACTTTAAGGGTACCAAAGTGGACCCTTTAAGTAAAAATGTGTACCTTTTGAAAAGGTACCACCCCAGTGGCAACTGGAGTCAGGATTGAGGTTGATTAACAGATTTATGCAAAACAATTTGAAAAAAAATTATCCAATGCATTTTAACAGCAGTTTAATTTAGTGGATGTTTTCATCCCTAACATAACAAAAGGGTCATTGTCAATGTGTATCGTTGAGGTTTTTTTTTTTTTTTTAATTATCAAAATATTTTTCAGAATAAGATTTGTCTCCCAAATCATTCTGCTAGTTAACACAGAAAAAGTTATGGCCAAATTAAGACTCAAAATCACCCCAGAGTAGATGAAAACATCCTTGACAGCACATAAGGGTTAAAGTATGTTCATCTTTATTCATACTGTCTTTTAAAAGGACTAAATACAATTAATTTTAACTATAATACGTTATCGCTAAATAAATGACTTTTTTGACAAGCCAAAAAGTACCTCAAGCAAATGTGAAAGCTTTTTTTTTTGTGATATACTGTATGTTTTTTTTTTCCTCAGAAATTTGTCATTTCTGTCATTCATTTCTGATGTGATACTTCAAAATGCATATTAAAACAGACTGATGGAAACAGTTAGAGTCTGACTCTGCCTCTGTCTCCTCTTCACAGACTTGCTCTTTTTGTTTGTGCTACCCAGAATTCCTGGTGACATTTGTTGTGTGAAGATTACTCACTGGCCCGTAGCCTGGCGTAGCACAACAGTGATGGCTTTAAAGACATGGAGTTGGCGCTGTCCCAGCCTCGACACCTCACCCACAAACTGTGCCTCCTGTCAACCCCCCCACGGGCACCTATTGTGGTGAATCAGTGACCGTACCGTTCCTTCTTTCTGCTCTTCACCAACAAATGATGAACTAAGTGGGAAAAAAGACAGAATGGAATGAAGAAGAATAGAAGATCCAGAGCATGTTGGCTTTTGACTTTTGGAGTCATTGTGGACAATGCAAGTGCTGGACCATCATTTTCAAAATACTGACAGGGTTCGTCAAACATTTCATTATTGTGTTTCTTACAATATGTTGCTTGAATGAAAATAAATGGATGTTTTAATAGAAGAACATCATGATGATAGCAGCTACGAACTGAAGCCAAAATGATAAAGAAATAGCCATGTATTTTCTCAATCAAATTGTATTATTATTTCTATATATTTTTTCATAAATTAATTTATAATGTATTATTTATGTATGCATAGTTGAATTTATAATAATAATAATTTTTTATTATTTGTTATTATTACATTATTATTATTATTATTATTATTATTATTATTATTATTATTATTATTATTATTATGTTTCATTATTTAACCAGATTAAGAAAAAAAAAAAAAACATTAAAATCAAGATCAAGGGTGACTTGGCCAAATGGTCCGCAACACTCAGCTTATGAAAAATAATAATAATAATAAAAAGTCAAGATAATATAAAAAGTACAGTTTAGTTAATCAGCTGTACCACATTACAATATGTTCAAAACACATACATTGAACAAAGTTATAAAGTATAGAGTGAAATTATTTAGATGAGATGAGCTCAGACTCAGAGTTCTGACTAAAGAGTATTCCTGGATGACGAGGCAGCATGACTAAAGGCTGTCCATGTCTTCCCTATTTCAGTTTGAACCTGGAGAACAGACAAATAATAAGATTTACTTGAACATAGGGCATACTGGCTTTTTGACCTATGAAGAAAGGAAAATAGGTATAAAGCAACAATGTGTGGTGAGATTTGTGGCTGGTGAGGCACTCACTCTTTCGAAGTCAAAAGTCAGATTTACAAACAAATCCACCATATATATTTGCCAACTACTGATTGTGTTTCATATATCATATTAGCATTCATTCTATACACATGTCATTTTAAGCAAGTCCTTTAGCTCTGGCATTGGTCATCCATTATTTATTCATGCTTAGATTGAAAAAAAATTTAAGCTGATATTTTTGCAGTCAGTCACAGCAAAACATAAAATTATGGACTCCTATTGAACTTTACTGTATATAAGAAGAGCAACCACTGAACAAGAATAACCGTAAGCTCACGTGCGCCCTCTTCATTGCGGCAGAGCTACTGCCTACCTCATGTCTTTTCAGTGCAGCTTTATGTCAGATCCTAACACAAAATAAGGGATAGGCATACATTACCTATTAAATTGAAAGTAAGGACATATAATAAAAAGGTATGTAATGTATAAAAACATTTTAATAAAGCATTACATTGGTAGCATACACTGAGTGAGCAAAACTGCGAGTTTGCAAGGCATTGCGCAATCTGATGTGAGGCACAGCTTAGTGCTGCCTCATCTCACTTCCTATGCTGTAATTGAACAGGATATACACAAAATACTGCGATTTTGATCATAAATATGATTGAAATCATTTGAATCATACAGAAATCGCATTTGTAGCACAGACAAATATTTTTTTTATTATTAGTATACTATGATGGCAGGTGATGGATGATGACAGGCATTGCCTCACCTGCCTCTCTTGACCGCATGTCCTTTCTATAAAGCCTGGTTTATACTTCTGCGTCAAGTGACCGGCGTTACTCACGGCGCAGGCAACGCGCGTGGCTGTGCATGTATACTTCTGCGCGCGGTCTCTGTTGGTCTGCATTAACACTTCCGAAACGCTAGTTGGCAGTGAGGTGTAAATGTTCCTCTGTGTCGAGTTTCTTTGCTGCTGTCTTGCTTTTCCTGAACACTTCCTGGATGTACAAGTGACTCAAACTCGCTCATTTTGAGGCAGGAACCGGCGGACGTGCAACAACTTTAACTATGAGGTAAACACAAAACAAAACTTTCCATCCGGAGCTCCTTTACGGGACTCCACACTTGTAAACAATCGCTCGTGCCATTCGCGCGGCTCTCGGTCCCGCCCAGACTCGTCAGCGCTACCAAGCCGACCAATCACAGAGCTTACGCTACGCGTTGTTGTGACGTGTAGTTACATTTTTTGAGAGGTGCACGTCAGTGATGCCGACGGCCACGGCGTAGGGCTATGCGTCAGCGCCGTAGCATACGCCGGCGTTTGACGCAGAAGTATAAATCAGCCTTAAAGGTGCCAGACCCAGAAGAGTCTTGTAGGCCAGAGTCATCCAGTGGGTGTATTTTTTTACATTCAGAGAAGGCCACTCAGCTTTGGCATACAGTTCACATTGGTTAGTTAGTCTACGACAGCCTGTAACAAACCTCAGAGCGCTGTGATAAACAGAGTTTAAAGACTGAAAACATTTGGTTGTGGCATTCATATTTAAAACATCCCCATAGTCAAGCAAAGATAAAAATATTGCAGACATTTTTATCATTATTATTATTGATGTCTCTTTACTGCTTTCTTTTTAAGACCAGCAGACAGTATGAACAAAAATATTCAACAACAAAATATCTCATTTTCAAAGATAAGGAAATTCAGTGTTGATTTTATTGACATGATTTGTGATGATCATTTCCAACAACTCTTGCCATACAAAGAAAAGAAGCGGTTAAATGAGTTTATTGTCCCTCATCTGGTCAAAATCTGTTACAAACCTGCGGCTGGCTTGGGTGGTCTTGATGGTTTACAGTGAAGTGAGGTTATTTTTTGTGTGTGTTTGCTGAATAAATGACCACGCACAGCTGTTTTAGCACTTAGCTAATTTTGTTCCGGTGTGTTTGTGTGTCTGCTAAGTGTTTAACTCTTGACCTACGTCACACTTGAGCAGTTGGATATTTTGCCTCTGTCTCACAAGATAATAACAATAAAAATAAAGTTGTATAAATCATTATATATGTAAAATAATAACAGATCCACACTGCAGTTATAGTAAATATGGCACAGAGAAACAGTATAATTGGAATACCTTTCAATATGATTATTTATGGTGATTAAAAAAAGAAAAAAAAAAAACATTGTCAGTCAATAGGAATTTGTGCTGTTTCCAATACTCTGAGAATTTAAGGAGACATTTTGTACACTGATCTGGACACTATAGTTATCATTTAGAGTTATGTTTATAGTTTGTTCTCCTAGTGTAAACATGCCTTAAAGGGATAGTTCATGAAAAAATGCCAAATTAAGGGCCCTATCATACACCGGCACAATAAAGTGCAAGACGTGTTTGACACGATTTGTTGCTATTTTCAGACCACTACAACAGTAATTTTCACGATTTGCGCCACATTGTTTAAATGTTGTCCAAAATGCTTACACATTGCCTAATACACACAGGATGTACAACAATACACAACTATCTTTACGTGTAAAAAAAAAAAAAAAATTAGATTTATTTTTCAATTTATTCATGACAATTTGCATTTGTATAGAGTTATTATTATAATTAGTATTATTTATCATATGCATATTTATATTTGTTTTAATAAAACAAGCTTAGATTTGTCCACCTGTCGGGTTTTGGAGACGTATGCGTCACTATGGGGCATAAGAATAGGATGTGTATTTAAAGTCAGTTTTTTTGACCACACTTCTTTATTAGTATTCATTTATTCGTTTGCTGGAAATTAGAACTGAATTCAGAAATAGTTTTGAAATAAATCTTTGCGCTTAACAAACTAAATCAAATATGGAGGTTAATGGATGTCTTTATTGAAGTGAGTTTCCACAGTTTTCTTGTCCACAAAAGTAAAGGAGTAAAGAGTAAAAGTAAAGAGGAGGCTCATTCTTTATCCTTGTGCTGCAGATAGTCTGTCTAACTGTTTTGTCACTAGTAAAGCAATTAGTTTTTCCATTCAGTTTATCCACTTACAAAGTCTGCCATGTAAATAGGAAATGCGACGCAACTGACTCTGACTCCCAAAGGGAATGGGAGCTGAGTCTGATTGGTTTAATGCACATTATGCTTAAAACACACCCATAACTCATTAAGAGAATAAGCAGAACCCTGTTAGACCATGCACTGCGGCGCAGAGCGTATTTTTCTGTTCTTAAAATGGGCAAAGTGGATTCGGACGCCCTTATTGCTTTTGCACTATGCACTTTAGACTTTGTGCCTATATTGTTAAAATAGAGCCCTAAGTCATCATTTACTCATCTTCCACTGTGCTGAGCATAAAAAAAAACATATTTAGAGAATTTGTAAACCTAATTGTGGACCATCAACTCACAGTAATGTTTTTTTTTTTTTCACAGTAAACATTTTCTTTTAAATATCTTATTTTTGGTCAGCAGAAAAATGGTTTAGAAATATTTGAGATTGAGTAAATATTGAGCAAAATTTTATTTTTGGGTAAACTACCCCTTTAAGACTTTAAATGCAAAGGACATCAGCACTGAGCTGATTTGCAAAGATATACAGAAAAATTGTAAAAAGCCACAAGCATTTTTTTAATTATTATTGAATTGTCAATACTATTATAGTTCTAGACTGCATGAGGTTGGAGACAAACGTTTGCTATCACTGTTTTAAAAAAAGACTCTATGTGTCTGTGTGTGTGTCACTGCAGGATCAAGTGAGAGAAGCAGATGGGTAAAAAGCATATTTGTGTTGGGTAGTTACTTCAGGTGAAAGTGAAAGAGTTGATGGGGAGAAATTGTGATCACACATCTACAGGGTGAGTGACAGACAATAGCTGCTGTAAAATTCTCTTACATCTCGGCTGCTCTGTATTCATGGCTCTCGTCTACTTTGTGACCCTCTTTCTCTTTTTCCACATCCTCTCAACTCTCTCAGTCTCTTTCAACCTCTTCAATGCTTCCCTTTCTTCCTGGAATATTTGCTGTATTTTTTATCCCTCTGTCTAAACTCTCTGATCAGGTGGGTTTGAGAGAGAAGCTCACCTGACAACACGCTCTTTTCTCCTCTTTATCCAGCCTAACGTTTCAGACTGTCGGAGCCTTAGTCTAGCATATTGACACTTTATGATCTCTCTTTTTTTTTGTAATTTATCAATAAAATAAAAATCCCTGGGAAGTGTAGACAGTTGTATATATTTGTTTATGTTGATGTGATAAAAGCCTTCTCACACTATAAACAAGAACTATAACAATGATGGTAATTACAGTTATTATTAGCCCCCCTTTAAATTTTGTTTACTTTTTTAAATATTTCCCAAATGATGTTTAACAGAGCAAGGAAATTTTCACTGTATGTCTGATAATTTGTTTTATTTTATTTTTTTTATCTGGAGAAAGTTTTATTTGTTTTATTTCATCTAGCATAAAAGCAGTTTTTCATGAAAAAAAAAAAAAAAAACATTTTAAGGTCAAAATTATTAGCCCCTTTAAACTATATATATTTTTTGATAGTCTACAGAACAAACCATCGTTATACAATAACTTGCCTAATTACGCTAACCTGCCTAGTTCACTTAATGAACCTATTTAAACCTATAAGCTGTAAAGAAATGTCTTGAAAATATCTAGTACAATATTATGCACTTTTATCATGGTAAAGATACAACTTAAAAAAAAAAAAAAAAAAAAAAAAACTTCTCTCCGTTAAACAGAAATTGGGGGAAAAAAAAAAAAACCAGAGGGGCTAATAATTAAGACTTTTACTGTATATGTGACCATAGATCCTATACTCCACAGTTACATCGAATGAGTGAAAATGATTGATTTTTTCTTTATTCTGAATATCATTAGGATAATAAGTAAAGATCATTCTCAATGAAGGCATTATGTAATTGTCTGACTGTAAATATATCAAACTTTAAATATGATTTTCTCATGTATTTGATAGTTTTTTAAATTGTTCAAATAGTTGTCTCTCTGTCAAATATTGTCTAATACAAACGAACCATACATCAATGCAAACCCTATGTATTCAGTTTAAGCCTATATATATAAAAAGATCATTGAGTGGTTTTCTGGTCCAAGGTGATATATTAGCACCTGGGTCAAAAATGATCTTTTCTATTTAGGGTAAGTTTTACAGTTGCCCTATTCTTTGTCTTGAGTTTTATTTTGGGTCAAACATTACATGACTTATTTATAATATTAATTATGTGTAAATTATACACTTTAAAATGTACCTTTTTAAGGTTGCAATTTTATGGCCAATATAACAAGATTGGTGTGAACAAGTATAAACATTTATGTTAGGAAACTTTTACTGTTTATCTCAACATCTAAAAAAATACCACTGCCTAAATTTCCCAGAAATTTATTTTATAAATAAATAAATAAATAAATAAATAAAGATCATAAATAATATGAACAATATTTATTTATAATATATTGCAATTGTTAATTAATACTTTAAACAATAATATTATTAATAAAAATAATAAATAAATAATAATAATAATTACATATATTAGCATAATTGAGTACACCTCATTTTGAAAATGAATATTTATATCCATTTCTTAGTGAATATAGGCCATATATTTTGGTGTATTTTGGTGCATTTAAGCAAAACCGATCTATTAAACATCTATATATATATATATATATATATATATATATATATATATATATATATATATATATATATATATATATATATATATATATATATATATAGATACACACACACAAACACACTTTAAAAAAAGTTCCTTCCTTTAATATTCCATCAGTATTGATATCATAGTAGTGTGGGCTCTACTTTTCTGTTACAAGTAAAACCATTTTAAGTCTTTATCATTACAAATCGTTATAGTTATTTTTAGTGCAGGACAGATATCAGTACTTTATTCTTGATACTACACAAGTAAGAACACCATTTATCGATAAATCAATTATTTTACCATCTTGTCCAAATCAGTCACCGTGTTAAAAGTGTTTCTCTATGTAAATCGATATGTGCACTAAAAGCATTGTGCAAAAACTGCAAGCAGGTGTTGTTTGTCACTGTTGGTTTGGTTCTGGCAGATTTAGGCTCTTATCTTCCTGAATCTGTGTCATCTAATTTCTGTGGGAATTGTTTTGACAAAACAGGTTAGCATAAGGTGGGAGATGTCAGACAAAACAAAGACTCTTTCAATTTGTGTGCGCTTGCGTGTTTGTGTGTCTGTCTCTCCATGGGAAACACGTGTCAGTCATCCGCAAGGTGTTACACTGGATATGACATCATGGCCCTCTAGGGCTTGTGCTGGGAAGACGAGTTGTTTGATTCTGTGTAAAAGAACAGAGTCTGGAGCTAACTGTGAAGATCTGCTTCTATCTCAGCTGTTGTAAATGTCTTGCTAACACAAATACAGCTCACAGGTGCATGTCAAAACAAATGTACGGCCTTTTTGTTCCTGTTTATGGGTCTTGAATAAAGGCACATCAGCTCTGCGGTATCTAATGGCTGAGATCTTTTATTAGGCTGCATGATTGTGTTGCTAATTAACTGTACTTGTACATGATTCGGATTGGTCAATCGTGTAACCCAGTATGCTGAAACAGTATAATTTTATGCTTTTTTCTACTTTGGGGACCCACTTACTCTTATTTCATACACTAAAAATGCAAAACTTTAACAATTAAAACAGTTTTGAAAGGGACAGTTGCCCAAAAAATTTAAATTCTGTAATTAATTACTTGATTTATATGATTTGTTCCAAACCAGTTGGATTTCATTTGTTCAGTTGAACAGAAAATAATGTTATATTTTGATGAATGTTGGAAACTGGTAGCCATTGAGTGTTTGTTTTTAATACTATGAAAGTCTGTAATTATGTCAGGCTTTCCAACATTCTTCCAAATATCTTCTTTTGTGTCCAACAGAACAAAATGACTCAAATTTTTAATAGTGAATATGCATTTTTATGATAAACAGTTCACTAAGTATACAAACTCTCTTACAACTGCCATACACGTCTTACCAAAATGACACTTAGTCCAAAGTGTGTTTAATTGGAGAAAACTGATTAAATGTTCACTTTAAAATTATTCTTTCTTTTCCTTGCTCATTTGGGAAATATTTGAAAAAGACAAAAAAAGGGGGCTAATAATTCTGACTTCAACTGTATATATATTTCTGCCTCACTCTATGACATTTAGTCATAGGGAGCTTGTTTTAACACTTTACTGATGTTAAAAAGTTTGAATTTGGAGCAAACACATAGTATTAATCTCACTCTCATATTTTGATCGGATGTAAAGCTGATCGGCTGGCTAGCTCTCAGTTCTTGTCAGGAAATTGTTATTTTATGACACATTTTGAGATGCAATTCAACATAAGGTCACTGAAATGTTTCTTTTCCATGCAGGCTATGAAGGTGAAGGGGAGATACTTGACCACAGAATGTTGTATCAAAAGAAAATGAGTTGTCTCCCAAAGTCACCATTACTGACCCTGATTATCCTTGTTTTTAAACAATTGGCAGATTTTCAGATTCAGGATCAATGTAGATTTATAGAGTGTAGATCTGATATGCAGATTGTTCACCTCATGGCTTTCTTCTGATTGGCCCGTCTGAAGGGTTCTCTGTGGAGCAGGTCATGTGATTGGCTGTTGAGCGAGCTGCGTGTTGCTGAGAGGCTCATGTGGTGTAGACAGGCAGATTGATGTGGGCCGGGTAAAGGCTAAGGGAACAAGACTGCAGGCCTTTGAAGTTCTGCATGAGGGGAGTAAATTGATATATCAATTTAAGCTGCACTGCCTATTAGAGGAGCTCCAGTCAGGTTAATGTGATAGCCCTAGTATTACCCTTCCAACCCCTTTCAGCCCTGCCCCGGTGCCCTACTGAAACACACACACACACACACCATCAGTACCTGCCAACCAGTGGCTGTAACAGGGTGTAAATAAAGCAGAGCAATCTTTCTCTCTTTCTGTCTCTCACTGTTGTTGTGATTTAAAATCTCTTTTGCCCTTCAAATAGCCCGTAGGATCAGAGCTGCAGAAGTTTAGGGGTGCTTTCACTTAAGGCCCTTGTGCTTTAGACAGGACATTTATTACATATGAACTTTGGAGACTTTTATACTGAAACTATGGCTGATTGAAACTGGTAAGTCTTGGTGCGCGCACACTAAAGTGAAGACTATTGCTTCTCATTCTTGCACATTCACCCTGAGGTGAGACAGGGATCATTCATATTTAACAGCATGCAGACACACATTTACATTAAAAATGCAGAGTGGTGTCTTTTTAATCCAGACGCCGCTATATATATTATTAAACCTTTGTCTTTGGGGTCAGATCACAAGATTTTGGTTGTCCGTCAACATTACTGCTCACTCAATCAGAGAGACTGTTCTGTCACGCTGCTCTAGATCTAGTTTGATTCACCTTCCTTTTTCAAAGTCATACTAATGTCTCTGAACCAGAATATCTGAAGATTTCTACTCCTTTCTTTTTTTCTTTTTTGGCAAATCTTTTTAGATTGGTGAAGCTACAGTTGTGTGATCTAAATATTAGTAACATTTTTTATTTTACTTTATTTTACTAAAGGATAGGATTATGATTAAAGGGAACGTTCATACAAATAGAAAGTTTACTCATTATGTTTGCACCTTATAGTGGTTCCAGCCTTTCATGAGTTCCTTTCTTCTCTTGAAAACTACAGAAGCAGCTTTGAAGAAAGCTAAAACACTGTAGCCATTGTCTTTCATGGCAATAACAACAAATACTATGGTCATGTATAGTTAAAGTCAGAATTTCCCAAATAAGGTTTAA